ATACAAGTTCCTATGCTATTAAAACACTTGCTATGTTTAGAGCGAAATTTACCATGTTCCTTAGTAAGATAGGTCTTACCAATAGTCTATCTTTCTGAATTACTAAAAACATAGTAAAACTGAAAAGAATTTATTAAAAGAAAAACTATAATATTCTCTTTATGCAATTCTATCTAGAATGGATCGATAATATTGTGTCGGGATCATTGCCAATGTAAAGGATCAGGAGAGGACCTAAAGTGAACATACATGATTATGTACACTGGCCCTCGGAGGATTACAACAAAGAACAGCAATTTCTCCTCTTTCACAGGGATTACCTCGTAGCTCCGACGAAACATCGACGAAAGTTTCATTCGAGCGCGTTTGAGTGGGCGTGAATATCTCGCGGATTGACAACATCGAACGATGGAATTTTGATAAAGATCGCTGTATATTTAAGGGGATAAAATAACATTGCGTCTCGCGTACGTGCTATTCGTGCGCCGCACGAAAGTTTGGGCGGGTTTTGACAGGTGTATCTTTGCCGTGTTTACCCACGTTACCCCCGTGGTATCCCATCGTAACGGATAAAAATCTCGCAGGTGATTTTTGCAGGAAAGGATGCGATCTCAGCGCAGATTATTTTCCTTTCCACCTCAATCCGTTGATGCACTCGGCTAAAAGTGTATATCCTCCCTTTTACCACCGTCACCATCACCGTCACTGCCACTACCACTACCACCATCACTGCCGCCGCCATTATCGTATGAGAACCGCGCGCGTGGTGGAGCTTTGCGGATGCATTTGCAGCGTCGTGTCGCACGCGTACAAAATTTCCTCGGGATCTCCGGCGGCGGGATTTCACCCGTCGTATGTGAGACGGGGGTCGGAAAGTGACGTCACACGAGCTGGCTAATAATTATCACGCTTGTTGGTCGAGGCTCTCATTTTCAGAATCGCATTCCCTCGTAACGGCCGGACATATTACGCATGCGGGATTCGCGAAATAAAATCCAGGAGACCGAATTAATCGCTCGCAGTTCTACGATGGAACCAGCTGGCAGTCGCATACGCTAAATAGGTCGTTTCCGGGGACCGGAGCGTTACCGTCCACCGGCTGCGGAATCCTGCGGGTCTGCTAAAAAACCAAGAGGCGGAAGGAGGGAGGGGAGGGGAGATAGAGAGTGAGTGGATGAACGAGTGAGCGAGTGATCAAGCCTCCGCTGGAGGTGTCTCTCGTTCTGCGGAGCCCTTTTAGCGTTCGTCCGCCTCACCGTTCTTGTTTTATCTCTCCCTTTTTTTTATCCGCCAAGCGTTGACGCAGCGCCAAATTGAATTCGGCCTCGCGCGACGGTTCGTGAATAATTTTGCGAGAGCACCCGCGTGTCGTCTCTGTCAACAATAATCGGCCAGTTGTCGCGCGCATCCCTCCCATCTTGCGCGCTGCACCCCTTCTCGCCGTATACGCGTGCTGCAGCCAGCGACTACGACTCTGCGAGCGTTCTGTGAAAAAAAATGGGAGAAAATATATATACGTATAATGAAAAAAAATGTGTATATAATAAAATAGCGACGCCGCCGGCGAGCGCGGTCGTCGCAATTTTCTCTCTTATATTTTATCCGGCGTGCGCGCGCGCGTATCGATTTATTCATCGCGGAAATCGAGCGTAACGAGGCGCAAAATGCCTCCAAACATTGGCCGCTGTACCTGTCCGCGTTCCATTTCGTATTCCACCCTTTTCGCGTTCTTGCGGTCAGCCCTGTCCGCTTTTTCCTTAAATAAGTTACCACCGCGATCGCAGTTTCCGCCATCGCCGCTCGCTCGGGGTGATGTTTCGCTCCCTATTGCGCGCACTTCGTCGCTTGTCTCACCGTTTAAATATACCATGACCGAATCTCCCGTTGACGCGATAGCATCGGGATAATTACGGTGCCTGATTAAGCACGACGCGAATAAATTCTTCCATAAAGTCGCGTTCAGCTGAGCTCACGGTCGACCTCAGGAGGTCAATCAGAAAAGGTAACCCCTCAAATTTCGACAAGATTGCCAATTTGTAATAGTAGATGCGCCAGTCACATTAATTTTTCCGAATAACGCATTGTGGAACCATCGCGCGATGCAAGGGACGAGGCAGCTGTAAATTAATCGTCAACAATTAAACGAAGCATTTCTCGTGTATTTTTAATACACTTAATTGGAGGAAGAAATATTTACACGCGATTTTTCGATGTTTTTGGAGAATAATTTGAAAGCGAAAAGTTGGAAAATATTTTTTTTAATTTTTTTTTACAGAGACTTTGATAGATATGTGTGGATAGTGTCCGAGTTCAAATTTAATCCAATATCCACGACACACAGTGTGTCAGAAAAATACCTATCAATATTCCACATAATAAAATCTCTTCACCGCGGCCTGTGTGATTCGGGAAATATGTTGCGCGCGACACGTGCCTGTAGAAAAAACATTTTTTTTTCGTAGCTCTTACTGTATTTGTATTTGGCGATATTGACACGCGTATCCCCGATATTCCTCCTCGCGCGCTGTATTTTACATTTCTCTCGGACAACGAGTTTACATTTTCAACCAGCGCATTAAATAATCGTTTAAGCGTTCTTTGCCAGCGAAAGAGATTGCAACGGTGAGATAGGGGTGCGCTGCTATCTGCTGGAACAGAGTGTGTTGCATTATTAAACAAACGGAGAGAGAATATCGGTCCCAAATCATAATTTCCTGGCAATACGACAGTTGATTTTCTCTCTGGACGCCCGTAAATAGGAAGAAAATGTAATGGAAACGCGCGCGCCGGCACGAACGCGGAGCTGTTAACGGCGGTTTCCTTCCACAGTGCAATCGGCGAAAAATAATTGCGGACAAAGGAAATCAAGCGCTCGCGCATTCGAGGTTCCATTCGCTCGAGTCTGTTTTAATTATCAGGAGCTCGTCGCACTAGGCCGATATTAATGATGTACGTTCGTTCGAATGCGAAGTTCTCTTCCTCCTTTTCCTCCCTCCTCTTTCTCCCTCTTTCACTCTCTGCGTATTATTGCCTCAATCTCCTACTCGCTGATAGTAACGACTGCGTTTGTTCAAGGTAGCCGGAAGTAACGCACACTATTTCTTCTTTTCGGCTCTTCTTCGATGTTCATCGAAATCAGAAAAAAAGTAAAATGCACGAATAAGTATGAGGGTTTGACGGCGCAGAAAGATCTCGAAACGATTCCTTCGTACGGCACGCGGGAAATTTACATTTTATGTTCGTCATTGTTATTTTAAGAGAGAGAACTCGCGACTTTCCACGTCTTCACGGCCGCAAGAAATTAGTCTCTCGCGAGACTGTTTTGAATGCAGTCTCGATATTACGTATAAAATATTTCGACAGTAATAATGCCTGCGATTTCTGCGAGCTTCATCATCGTCGAGCGTTGTGAAATCTTAATATTTCAAATATGTCAGGACAATTGTCATCTTACAATTCCGTGCCTCGCAGACGTCTCATCAGGAGAAAGAAAATTACGCCAAGTCCCGCTCCGTGGGGAGAAAAAATGTAACGAAGAATATCTCCGCGGTTTGTCGGTCGCAGACATTTATAATTATTAAGGTGTATTATGCCGGGCCACTCTTCTCCGTTTCTTCTTAGTCTCGTATTTGCCCGCGGGGAATATCTTTGTCTTTCACTCTCTTTTTTCCTTCGTCCTTTTCTTCTTATCTCTCTTTCTGTCTCTTTCTTTCTCAGTCTTCCCCCTCCTTTACGCTTGAAAATATCATTTTCGAGGAATGAAAACTGTATTATAAAAGCGCGCCGCGTGTCTGTTCACATATCTAACAACGCGACTTTATTTTGTCTTGGCAAAATCGCGTGGCTTTACAGCGGAATTTCTGCGCTCTCCGCATTATTCGAGTTTTTATTAACATACTCTTAATTTCTTACGCTCGTGGGGGAAGAAGATACACGAAGAAAGAAGACATGATGCACAAGACCAGAAATACTCAGTTGTAAGAAACATGGTTGCATCGCCCTAGTTATCTTTGTGTTTGTGTTTGCGTATAGTAATGTGCGTGTAGCATGGTTGACTCAGTTACTTTTTGGTTCATCGACTACATCAATGTAGTTGCGCGTCATATGGCCATGGCAACCAGAAATCGATTGGGCTGACATTTATCTGGTTGGAGCAACTAGATATCGTCATCATTGCTGCAACGCCAGTAATTCAGCAATTGCTCTGCGGTTATAGCCATATAATTAGTTGCCCCGTATTTTAGTATTGAATCTGGTTGGCACAAGCAGATTTATGTGCGGGTCAACCATACGCGAGTTTCTCCCGCGTACGCTCCCGCGACGCTGGATTCCGCGCGCTGCGACAATTCGATCGAGTATCTCACTCCCACGAATAACCAGCGTCATGACTCGGCGCGCGTAATCGCCATGATAAACGCGAGGCTTGTTTCTGCCGAGGTTAATATTAGACCTTCTCGCGAGTGTGATTGCGTCGCGGTTGCGGGACGTTAAAAATCGCAGCGCGATATCCGGCGCCGTTAGCCGGGATTAACCCCGAAAAGCATCGCATCCTCCGGCAAGACCGCGATTGCGCTGCATTATAGAAGGGCGTAATTTTGTTGTTGCACGCCGGCGAAACTTCATAAAGCTGGACGGCGCGCGCGCTTTTTCCATCTGTCGGAGCCCGCGTTATTTCATTCTTTCGCTGTTTTTCACCGTCCGCGCCGCTCTCGCTCTACACGCGATTTCGCGTTTCACTGCGGGATGCTGTTGCGTAACGGCTGTGTTATCCTCCTTCGCGGCGGTAATGCGGCCCGCGATGATATTTCTCGCGAGCATCCTCGGATTTCTTCTCCCTCTTTCCTCCTCGTCGCGCACCTCTCGAGCGAAGACGCTGCGAATTAAGCTCCCCATAACTCGCACACGCGCATCGCGTGCGCCTCACTTTCCAGTCCGCATCGTTAACCCGTCCGTGCCGCGAATGTTGCCGAATTTAAAGTCTGCTTATTGTTTGGTTTCAGAATACCATTCTACCCGAGGCCGTGCATTTCTGGGAGCGAGCGTTGATGGTGCGGGAGACGAAGAGCACCATTAGACTAAACAGGTGAGCAGTATTTCTTCCTCTTCTGTTTTCACGACCGGTGACGGCTGTAATTTAGATGGCACTTTTTCTCCGTTTCGTTTTCTCCACGACTTTTTTAACGGCCATCGACCGCGTGTGTTTCGACTTGGTTGATTATCATTGGATCATTGATTCATCATTGATTATTGCGAAGGCAATAACGCAAATTGAATGAAGATCCCGAGTCGAAGATTTAATGCTACTTTTGACATCAGTATTTGATTTACGGCTACTTTGATGCTTTGAGGCATATCGATCTCTTTTTTGATTCCATAATTTAACTTACTGACTTGGTTCTTTTCAAAACTTATTTATGTCAATGGCATTTTATATGTTTTCTGCCATTTAAAATCGCCAAGTAGTACTTCAGGTCGAAAGTAAAGCTAAGATTTAGACTCGGGATGAGCATTTATACTCTCAGATTTTTTCTCACTTTTGAAACGAATGGACGACGAGAAATTTATCGAGCGCTTGGAAGGTAGAAAATCTCATAATCAGCTAATACGCACACATATTTTTCACACAGGGTCGAGGCAATTTGAGACAAGAATTATAAATATTCCACTTCACACAGTTGTGTCGGTTATATAGAATATTAATGACTGGAAAATCGCTCGGCGTATGCCGTAATCGCACAGACTGTAGAATATTAATGAAACACGCAGCCTTTGCTTGTTCTCTTTTTTCTTGTTAAGACCGCGTAGAACAGCGAGAATAAAATAGGAAAAGTATCATATACGCGGGTAGAATAATATTAACGCTAGATAATATAATCCGCCGAAAAGCGTTTTGCATTATTCTATCTTAACACCCGTACGTATACACGCGACTGCAGTCGTCGCGTTTATTTGCATAGAGACCGAGATGCCGGGCTAAAAGCGTGTGAATATGTATCGCACGTATTTGCGTTCGCGCAGCCGTTCATCTGATTTACTGCTGGGAACACGTACTAGCGTTATTATAGCCCCATAATATAATGGCGCGCGTACTCGCCCTGTGATACGCTGGCGCGATAAATTAACGTTCATCGGAAAAGTGAACGTCCAACAATGCGATGGTAGGAGCGCGATCTGTTGCTCGATACTAACTTGAACACTATATTGAAGACCGAGTTCTTATTGAGGAAAGAGAGTGAGGCAGAGAGCAAATTTCCTCTTATCTTTTCCGTTAATTTTGAATATTATTTTTTTATGTACTTTGATTCTATCTACGATGCTTCGGCTCTCCAAAGATATGGAGCGCTCTCAACGATCAAATCGCTGCGTCAGATGCGCCGTGTCAGATGCGCGCGGAAAATACGAAGTATCAACGTACACTCGATACGTTTTTGCAATAACCGCGGTATGGGAGGTATCAATGAGGTTGAGCTGTAATGTCGGTAGGTCCCTAGCATCGGGAAGAGATAAATGTTCGCCGTTCGTTCTGGTCCTTTTTCCGGGCGCGGTGGCTGGCGGCAGTTCGGTGCCGCAGATACGCAAGCAACCTAAATTAATGCGTCCGTGTCCGTCGGCCGGATAAACAGAACACATGGAAGTGCACGGTGCATATAAAGTCATGCGTACACATAACTATCACATAGTTATGTGGTTTTGTGCGCGTGTAAACAAGCGCCGCATATCCCCTGCACTTCTAACGAGGCATGACTTTTCGCCGCGATATTTCTCTCTCTCTCTCTCTCTTTGTCTGTCTCTTTATTTCTCTATCTATCTATCTCTATCTCTCTCGCCGCTGGCGCTACGCCGAAACTACGCACGTGAATTGTCTCTGCGCGCGAATAGCCATTCACGAGGACAATGTAGCTATGAGTTTCCCGTGATTACGGATTTATACGCGTGTACGAATGGCTCCGCGTAAAAGAGTTGTAACTCGCACTACTAAGTTTCCACGCGCGACGCATTGAATCTGTCACTCGGACGTAAATGGAGTGCTCGCGCGCGCAAGTGCAGAGCCAAACTAAAGCCGATTAAACTGCGCACGAGTCATGAATCGAGAAAGGAGATAACTTTATATTTCTTAAGTTTATCGACTAATTTTATCGAATAAATTCTCTCTCTCTCTCTCTCTGTCTATCTCTCTTTAAAATTCTTTCAGAAGCTGGCGATTTAGCTGGAAATGGGTAAAAAAATTATCAAACGCGCACAAAATGTACATCTCGCGTTCATGTATTCATTTTTATCTCTCTTTTTCTCCGATCTTTCTCCCACGCGTTTTTCTCGTTTAATGCGCGAAAGCGGACGCAAAAATGTACGCGCACATTAAATGTACTTATCTTACACTTCAATGGTATAACACCGATAATAGAACGATTATCTGTCGTCATCCAATCTCCGCTTGCGAGTGTCCCGACAGAAAAAGCTCCGCGCTTCCGGTATTTACCGCTAGCGCGAGCAAAGGGCGCCGAGGGTGAAAATTATATGCGGTACGGCCACCCTTGGCTCAACCACGGTCAGTGCAAATTCGATCGATCGTGGACGTGCGCAGCGCGCGGGTTTCTTTAGTTTATCGTGCTCGAGCGAGTATCGCGAACCCTCATAGGGTGCTACATTCTACGGATAGAAGAAAAGAGAACTTATGATACGTACAAGAGAGAGAGAGAACAAGAGAAACAGAAAGAGAGAGAGGTGGGGGGAAAGGGGAAGAGGAGGCAGACGATGATGCGAGAGGAAAATATAACACGCGAAGGTGTGCGTGTAACGTAATAAAACAAGGAGAAAGAAAGACTTCGATTCTAGGGCACGTACATCAATCTCGTGCCAGCTCTCATTCCTATTGCTGCCAATAAAAATCCGGGCGGCGAAACCGACGGCGGTAATCTTCGCGCGTCAGCTGCCTTCTCGCGAAAAACTTCGCGCGGCGTTTATCGATCTTCCTATGTATCATTATATACCGTTTCCCCGTCACACGGCAGCGCCGGGAGTTCGCACCCTCCGGGTGCTCGGCAGGCAAGCGAACGACCGGCCACCGTATCCCGCTATCGCCATCCCGCTAAAGTGTGTTTAATGGAGCCGATCGTGAGCGGTCGCGCGAGTGGAGACGTCAGATTTCGCGAGGAACTGCGAGCGCCGGTCGCACATCACACGCTGCTCGCGCGAATTTCGGCTGGCGGTGGTACCTATATAAGTATCCGGCGACGAAATTGCTCCGACAGAATTAATCCCCTTCAGAATTAACCTCCGCGGTACACAACAATGTGGAGTGAGAGAGTGATCTCGTTTGTATGTATGTACATACTACAAAGTAACGTGCATAACGCTACGTAGAAACGGTTTATGTATGTATTCATGGCGAAAGAAGGCACAACGATTGCCGCCGTAACAAAAGAAGCCCGTGCAAGCGTATAAGCGCGGGAAAGCAATATGGGTAATAGCGCGAGGGGCGAGGGGAGGCCACTCACGCGCGGGTTTTAAAAGCGCGTCGGCTATTTCCATGGACAGTGCTGAAAATCGTTCTCTCTCTCTCTCTCTCTCTCTCTCTCTGGTTTTTTTGTTACTTTGATACAAGATTAAACTAGTTGCAGCAATCTCCCGGACTACTCCACCCGAATGACGCGATTTACTATAGGACCGTAAAGTGACGCAATTTTCCGCGACTACCAAATCGTTTTTATCTCCTTCTTTTTCTTTTTTATTACAAAGAGCTTGCACGCGGTCAAATTATATTAGACAGTTTTCCCACAGTTTAGTGAAATAAAAAATTTTACGAATCCTTGTGCATGAAGTATTCAGAACCAATCGAAATCGTTCGTAAGGGAATAGTACACAGATAGTATGGCTAGTTCTCACATAAATCTGATTGCGCCAACCAGATTTCGATGGTAAAATACGGAACAACTAATCGTGTGGTTGCTGTAACCACAGAGCAATTGCTGAGTTGACGATATCTGGTTATTCCAGCCAGAGTGTATCCATGGTAAATGTCACCCTAACCAATTTCTCGTTGCCACAATCAGATCACGCGTAACTACAGTACCTGTCAAAAGTTTGACATCACTGATAAAAACTGTTTCTCAAGAATAATTAACTGTATGATAATCCAGATAATTATCTGTATGGTAATCCAGATAATTATTATTTGTATATTGATGTACCAAAGTAACTGATTAATATCAATCACCATACAGAGATAACTAGGATGATTTAACTATTCTGCTCACAATTAAATATTTTTGGTTATGTGTACCATATTTTTTTTCTATGTTTGATTCTGAAATGTCTAATTCTGAACTTTCTTGTTGTTTTGGTCTTTAAATACAAACATTTAAACTTTCAACATAAATGTATATATTCAACTTTCAACATAATATGTATATATTCAAAACATATATTTTTTACATATTGAGAGTTTAAATATTCGTGTTTAAGAACTAACATAATAACAGTGTCCAGAGTTAGATACTAGCGTTATTAATGTCCAGGCAATGGTACTTTTGCCTTACGGCAGAATTCATGCGCGAAGCGATCTTGGCGCAGGAATTTAACCGTGTGTACCTTTGACGACCGATGGTTCTTTGGCGCAAAAGCGGTCCCGGATCGTAGACGGCCGAGATCTTCCGCATGGCATCGATGAAATTGCGCTACCCGCTGCCAGCCCTCCAAGGGTTAATCGCGGCGGAAGTACGATGCGCCCAGGATTGGTACTGGATCATGGACGGACAGCGCATTAATTCGCATCGGTCTTCATAAAAGCTAAATGTAATGCTTGTCGCTCAGAACGCGGCGAGTCGGGCACAGGTGAATCGACGGCGAGGGAGGGGAGTGCGAGATCGGATCAAATGAAATCCACGCGGGTGAACTCACGCACACGCACGTAGAATTGCATCGGTAACGCGTCAAAGGAGATTCGATTTGAGAGAGACAGAGAGAGAGAGAGAGCCGAGCGCGTTTAAACGGGGTGAGCGCGCGTGCAACGTTTGTCGGTCGAATGCGCGCCACGATAGGTAGGTAGATAGGTAGGTAGGTAGATGGGTTTGTGAACGGGCTGTG